ACCCTGTACTATATAGCTCATGGCTTTTTCTGAAAAATGGCTCCAAAATCACTCCAAATTTTTATTACATTTTCTAATGCATACTGATGCCCTTATGCTATGTAGAAAGTTTGAGCTGATTCCGAGCTCAAATTTTTAAGTTATGGCCATTTTTTGAAAATGGCCAATTTCGGAAAATGGCCAATTTCGGAAAATTACCCTGTACTATATAGCTCATGGCTTTTTCTGAAAAATGGCTCCAAAATCACTCCAAATATTTATTACATTTTCTGATACGTATTGACCTTTTTATGCTGTGTAGAAAGTTTGAGCTGATTCCGAGCTCAAATTTTCGAGCTATGACTATTTTTTGAAAATGGCCAATTTCGGAAATTACCCTGTACTATAGCCCATGATTTTTTCTGAAAAATGGCTCCAAAATCACCCCAAATTTTTATTACATTTTCTGATGTGTATTAATGTCCTTATGCTGTTTAGAAAGTTTGAGCTGATTCCGAGCTCAAATTTTCGAGTTATGACCATTTTTTTAAAATGGCCAATTTTGGAAAATTACCCTGTACTATAGCCCATAGTTTTTTCTGAAAAATGGCTCCAAAATCACTTCAAATTTTTATTACGTTTTCTAATACATATTGATGCCCTTATGCTATGTAGAAAGTTTGAGCTGATTCCGAGCTCAAATTTTTAAGTTATGGCCATTTTTTGAAAATGGCCAATTTCGGAAAATTACCCTGTACTATATAGCTCATGGCTTTTTCTGAAAAATGGCTCCAAAATCACTCCAAATTTTTATTACATTTTTGATGCTGTGTAGCTTTAAAGTTTAAGCTGATTCCAACTACAAATCAGTAAGTTATAAGCATGTTATGTAGTTAGTACATTTCACAATAATCAGCCACACCCCTTAACTCACGCTGTGCTTCCTGTCTTGAAAGTTATCATTAAAGAAAGTTGGTAGCCATGACATTAGCGGATGAAGAAAGAATCCCTCACAGAAACTAGCATAGAACATTGCCCTGAAGAAGATTAAAAATATAGAGGTGTCTTTATTTTAGAGTGTCCACAATAGCAGGTTTGACTGTACATGTACATACAAAATACTATCTCTCCCTCCCTCTCTCTCTCCCTCTCCCACTCTCTCTCCCTCTCACTTACAGAACTGATCCTTGCTTCATTAAACTTCTCCATGGTACATCAAAAAAAGATGGTGGCTTACTACTGCCATTGTTATTATTATTATTATCATCTGATAGTTCTTGTTTTGATGAAGAGTCCAATAGCTGATAGTGTATTTTAGAGGTGTGTCTTCTTGATAGCCATCGTAACAGTAAGCCCCACCCAATCCCTGATACTCCTATTAACAGGAACATGTACTCCCACCCGTGGGAGAAGAGGAACATGTATCCTAGGAGACCAGTGAGGACTGACCTGGAGGAACATGAAAATGAAGAAGAAAAAATGGATTGTCTATATATCATTATTACATGCATAATTATATGTACATGTACTTTACTTAATGTACATCTTAAACTTTGTGGTATTAAAGAAGTAAAATTTAAGACATAAAAATATACACTGTGTAGTACATGTTAAGTTTGTTTAAAGTGATCAACACGCACATGTACATGTAAATTTGACAATAATAATTTATTAACTAAAAATGCTGAAATTAGTATACAGTCAAATCTCCAACCAATACACATCCAAACCTACACACAATTAATAATGTACATTGTATGTGAACACAGTCAAGTACTACCACTTTCAAAATGTACATATATTCATAATATATATACAAATACTCACCCTATTGGTGGTCCAGCATGTATCAGTCCATTCACAAAGCTTCTATTCTCATCAGATACTCTA